ATGAATGCAATTTTTAGACATTAGACATTTTGTTAAATTATTTTCCTTTTATTTACCAATGTTTCAGGAAGTCTATTAGTTCAAATGCATTTTACAAAGGGACCTAGTGTGATTTTGTTTATTTAATTTTTAATAATTTCTTAGTTACCTTTCACGGTATTTCCATTCATTTTAAAAGGCTCCCTTGTGTGCTTGCAACCTGCAGAAGAGTAGATCTTAATCATTCTCAGAACAACAAAAGCCTAAGTGAGCAAGGCGATGCACGCACCATATCGGGTGAGCTGCCCTACACTGTGCACACGTGTCAAGACATTGTGCTGTATGCCATGAACGCAATGTTTGTCCACTGAAGAAAAGAAACGCCTGCCTGTAGGTGGGCCGACACCCCCGGTTCCCTGGCCTGCGCATTCTCTGTGGCTCAGGAATCTCCCCTCCTGGTGGTTCTGGGTGCCTAGCCCTGACGTGACTATTCTGTGGCCACTGTCTGCTCAGCCTGGGGTCCATGGGACTCACTTCTTACCACTGATCCCTTCTCACCAGAGGGTCCCCCACAGAAAGTTGATTTCTTCCCAGCCCGAGCTTGCTGCAGGGCTTTCTGTTCAGAAGCTCTCCTTTGGTGCCACCTTGCATCTGGGGGGTGGTGTTCCTGGGAGTGGCGTGAAGAGGTCTGCCAGGTGTGGTGCCCCATTGCTGTGGGAGTAAGACACAGTGCTCTGCTTGGACTCTGGGGTGCCCAGCATTTTCCTGAGCCACAGGAGTGGCCAACCTCTGGCTTTCTGCAGAGGCCAGGTGGGGAAAGACAAAGCCAGCCTCCTTCACACCCTGATCCTTCAGGTAAGTAAATCCAGCATCCCCTGATGAAAAGACCATCCTTTGTCCACTCTAGTGCAGTGACACTTTTGTGTCAGTTAGGTGACCATATCTATAAGGTTCTGTTTCCAGACTCCATTCTCTTCCTCTGGGCTGCTCATCTGTCCTTGGACCGGTACTAACGTCTGTAGGAAATCATCTAGTACCGTGCTCTTCATGGCTGTCTTGGTTACGTGGGTGGTTCACATTTCTGTGTAAATTTTAGAATTTGCAAACAGGTTGTTGATTCCTACCCAAAGACACCTGCTGGAACTTTGAGACTCATTGTACTGTACTGTACTGTACTGTACTATACTGTCTACACTCTTCCAATCCATTAACATGGTATATCCCTCTATTTATCTAGGCCTTTCGTTCTTCTTGGCAGTGTTCTTTATTTTACCACATGGATTTTTGCACACCTTTAGTCTCAGTTACTATTCGTATTTGAGTTTTTTAAAAGTACTATTATTAATATTATTTTTTCAAGTTTCACTAAGTTTTTTTCTAATTTGTAGATATCTAATTGACTTTTTAAAATCCTTCTTGTGTTCAGCAAGTTTTCTAAATCGCATTTCATTTCTATTTTCATAATAGAGATTCTTTTCAATTTTTCACATAATTATTAGCAAATAATGGTATTTTTATTATTTTTTTCCTGTTATTATATCTTAATTTTTCCTTCCCATACCAAAGTAGCTTTATCTCTAGTATAATGTTAACTAGAAGTAGGAATACAAAGCATTCTCATCTTATTTCTTTCCTCAGGGGGAAGGCATTTTCTATTTCACCTTTAATCATCATGTTTGCTGTCGGACTTTTCCTTTCTTCTGTTTCTTTCTTTCTTTTTTTGTTTTAATTTTGGTAGCTCTCTGTGTCAGAATAAATTTCCTTCTTTCTCTAGTCTGCTCAGAGTTTTATCAGAAATGTGCATTGTGTGGTACAAGCATTTGTCCACCTTTTGTGGTGGTCATATAGTTTTCCTCTTCTTGATATGATGACTTACTTTGCCTGTCTTTTCCAGATGGTAAATAATGCATATTTGGAGTACACCTGATTTGCTGATGGTATTAGTATTCTTTTTGTTATTTGAATTTGATTTGCTAGTATTTTATTTATTTGTTATTTTTAGTTTGCTATGGGGCATGTATGCTTGCTTGAGAGAAACTGAGAGAGGAAAAAGTGAGAAGTCACCCCCTGGATGGCCATGCCACAGTCCCTTCTCCTCCACTCTCCTCTTGGGATTTTGGGCACGCGTGTACACGTGTGTGCCCAGAATGTTTTTCAAGTAACCAGGTCTTGGACTCAAACTGCACAGTTGGCCATGTATGTGGGATCCAGCAGTCAACTTCACTCTCACACAACCTGGCTGACCCATTTTCAGTAACTGCTTTTGGAGCAAATATTCAAATCCTTTTTTTTTTTTTTTTTTTTTTATTTAAGCTTCTCTCTCCCTACCGACCTCTCTTGTGAAAGCAGCCTGGGCCTTAGGGGCAGTGTAAATGAGGTTGCCCCCGAGCTCTCTGCACTGCTGTCTTAGAGCATCTCTGTAGAATTTTGTCTTTAAAAAGAAAACAGAACCAGGACCAGCAGATGGTGTAATGGCTACATTGCTGGATTCTCACATAGTTGACCACTGTTTGAGTCTTGGACCTGGTGGCTTAAACTCATGCTGGGTGCTTGTGCGTGCATGCCCAAGATCCTAAGAGGAGAATGGAAGAGAAGGGATTGTGGCATGGCCATCCCCCACAAAGGGTGATTTCTTACTTTCTGTCTCTGTCACTCTCTCTTTCTGGTGAGTGCATGCGCCCTAAAGCAAAACGTCTCCAAAAAAGAAAAGAAAAGAAAATAGAATCAGCTAACTGCTTTGTTTTCCTATTCGAAATTCAGGATGAGTGAGAGGCCAAGCAGTGTATGCATTCTGTCAACTGCACTTCAGGGAAGTTCCTGCCTTGCTTTCTGGACCCTTCTGGGCTCACCGGCCCTAGTGCAGGCTGGGTAATAGAGCTGTGGACTAGATGACCAGGGTGTACACCAACGCCAACATCCAGCCTGTCGCTGATGTGGGCCGTCTGGGGCAGGCCTAGCAGGGAGGAGAGAGACAGTACTGCCTACAGGCACTTCAGCCTTGCTGAGGGACTGTGGAAGTTCCAGTACTTGTAGACACGTGAACAGAATCCCCCAAAGGACTGTGCAGTGCTCACTTCCCACGAGACCCTGCCTGTTCTCTCCCCGCTGGCTCCTTGTGCGTGTCGCTGGCCATGAAGCCCGTCTGGCTCTCGCGGTAGGCTCCGTCACTTGCAGCGCCTTGCTCTGCCGTTGAAAGGCAGGTCAGCTGTTCCCTGGTCGGGCTAGCGTTCTAGCCATTGTTTCTTCTTTCAGGCCTCACTCTTACCTCCATGTTTCCAGGAGCGTGGCCGCCAGGCTCGAGCCCTGTAGACTGTGTAACTGACAATTTCTGCAAATAAATGACCTTCTCGTGCACCACGTTCTAGTGAGGATGGAATGGTGCTGTTAAACGTACATATTTGGCTCTTCTTTAAGCCACAATTCCATATTCTTTTAGACCCCACGAGGTTTATGAAATGAGCACCAAACACGGAATCAGATAACCGTGGCTAAAACCCTAATCCTCTACTCGTCATTCGGTCGTGGTCCGAACGGGAATGGCATCTCGTGAATGGTGCCGTTAAACGTACATATTTGGCTCTTCTTCTTTAAGCCACAATTCCATATTCTTTTAGACCCCACGAGGTTTATGAAATGAGCACCAAACACGGAATCAGATAACCGTGGCTAAAACCCTAATCCTCTACTCGTCATTCGGTCGTGGTCCGAACGGGAATGGCATCTCGTTTCACGAAGCCGGTTGTGTGCAGTCGCGCTTACCAGATGGTTAGTTGATGTCCGGGTTAAAGGGACATTGTAGCTGATAAGATGGACATTTTCAAATGTAATGTGGGGCGCTTCTCATTTTTATAACGACCTATTTGTTTTTCTCTTAGTCCCTGTGTAGGAAGTACTATTGAGGTGTGTTCTCGTTTTTCTGACGGATTTAATGGTGAAACTCATTCAAGGCTTTATCATTTAATCAAGGCCATCTTTAAAAAGGGAGGGGTTTAGCACATGTACAGGTTAGAACAAGAAAGCAAATTCTGGAAGAATTAATGCCTGCAATTTTGATGCTAAATGATTGTTGAAGAATCTGTCATATTGACCCAGCAGGTGGCATGGTGGTTAAGGTGCTGGAATCCCATATGGCCGACTACGGTTCGAGTTCTGGACCTAGTGGCTTGTTTTCTCACTTTCCCTTTCTCTCTCTCTGGTCAAATTAAAAATAATAATAACAAATGGAATTAAATAAATAATAAATAACTTGTTCTTTAAAAAAAGAATCTGTCATGTTGAGGTTTCTGAAGGGCAGAGTCCTGGAGCCCGGCACAGTTCCTGGAGACAAGCATCTTGCCCTTATGTGGAAATTTGGCCTCTTTATCCCCAAAAGTGCTTTCCAAGGCATCCCTAGAATGCAGGTTCCTGGAGCCTCCTGCAATGGAAGGGTCAGGGCTCCCTAGAGCAGGGACAGCGGGAGGGCCCGTCGTGGCCTGCGGGAGCAGGTGCGAGCTGGTGGTCTGTGGTGCGGGAGGCGCCCTGGGCACTGGAGCAGGTGCGAGTTGGTGGTTGTGGGCGCTGGGGGGCGCCCTGGGCACAGCCATCACTGCTGTGGGTGTGCTTCCCACTCTGGTGCTGCTGAGCGTCTGTGCCTTCTGGTCCACGTACCCCGTAGAGGGGGGAGAGCAGCACCGCCTTCCACATTGGCTGTCTCTTGGCCCCCAGGAGCCAGGAGCAGCCCGTCAGGCCGGTCTCAGACCCCCTAGGGCTGGCTTTGCCTTTAGTCTCACTTTGCTCCCTTATTGAGGCGCTGCTGAAGGAGGATGGGAGGGCACTGACTGAGGAGTTAGTCTGGGGAGATGGGTGATGGCTCCCAGACTGGGCGCTAGTCCTGTGCTGGGCCCGTGCTCCTCTGACGGTCACTGCGTCGCCCCACTCTGGCCTCCTGGTCTCCCCTGCTGCCCCACCGGCCCTGTGGACTAGCGCGGGTCTGCAGCTGCCTGTGGCCGTGGCGCTCACGGTGTCCTTGTCCTCTGTTTCAGCCTCGGACAGCAGAGTGGTGACGTGCGCGGCCGTGTGGAGGATGCCCGCGGAGTGGGAGGCCGGAGGCCACGAGTCCCCGGATGACTCGTCCAGCACGGCGCAGGCCCTGGAGCTGCTTTGCCACCTGGATAGCGCGGCACATGGCAGCGTGGCCTGGTAGGACCCTGCGGTCATGGCCAGAGAGGCAGCGGGCGGCAGGGACAGCCCGAGCCAGCTCCCCTCCCGTGGCCACCGCTCCTTTACGCGGGAGGCCGGGGTGGGTTCTGTCCCCAGGGTTTTCTCCATCAGCTGCACTTGGAAGCCCCCGTCCTGTGTGTCAGGACAGCCCACGCGGCTCCTTCCCTTCCCTCACGTCAGTGTTGCTGCGGTCACCCGTGGGATGGTGGCAGGGGTGCCGTGCAGTCCCCACATCTGCACCACATCCCAGCTGGAAACAGCTCACGTGCCCAGCCTGGCCATTCTCTGCAGGCTGCAGCCCCTCACCCCTCTTTCCTGGGGCGGAGTGGTCTCTGTGGCTCCAGGCTCTCCTGTCTTCACCCTCGCCCTCGTCTCCCCAGCAGTCAGGTGGCTTGCCGAGGGACAGCGAGGTGTACAGGTGTGTCCTGCAGTCACTGCTGGTCCCTGAGGCCACTGAGACCATGGCGAGAAGACGCAGCGTGTTTTCTGGAAGACATGGCTGCGCTGTGACGTTTGCCACAGCAGTGGCGGTGCTCACTTACTTAATGCGGTGACACGCCCACGCATGTGTGAGCGTGTGTGCACGCAAGCCCCCAAGGAGCCTCTGTTCCTCTTATGGCCTGCTGCTTTCGTCAGCTGTGCCAATTAAATAAATGTAATGGAACAGGTACTTATTAAGCACCTGCCACACACACCTGCCAGGCTTGGGGACGCCCAGGTGACAGGTCGGGGACTTGGCCTCCAGGGCCGCACTCTCCCCCATGGCAGACAGGGTGCACACACCGCGCCATTGTGAAGGGTCTGGGCCCGAGGGTTGCGCTCTCCTGGGGAGACCCAGAGCATCCCAGCATGGCAGACAAGGTGCACAGCCATGCGTGTGTCGCGGGCACGCACTGTGAGGTTGGAGTGTCAAAGCGGACCTGATGCACATGCCTGCTAAGGGACATGTACCGTGTTGGCTCTCGAGCCCGTGCCCACCCACGGCCCCCAGACCTGCCTCGCAGGCTTGCTGCTCCAGCTGTGCTGCCACTGTCCCGAGGGCTGGCAGGGAGCGCTCGCGGCCAGGTGTCACTGCGTGCTCCTTTCTCCTTCGAGCTCTTCACTGTGAGGTTGCACAGATTCACATTGCAGCTGTAGGGTAACACAGGCGCACCTGTCACGTGCCCCTGCAGTCACATCGCGGGATGGCTGTGCGGTGTCACAGCCTGGACGCCCACCCAGCTGGGCGGGCCTCACCAGTCTTTTTGTTGTTCTTTTCTGTAGAGCGTGTGCGCTCACTGGGGAGAGATGGAAAGAGGGGAAAAGTAGGAGTCGCCCCCCAGGGGGCTGGCCACACCCCAGTCCCTTCCTCATTCCCCTTGCAGGATTTTGGGCGCACACACACAGGCGCTTGGTGTGGTCTTCAGGCACCAGGTCTGGGACTCCAGGTGTGCAGCTGGCAGGTGGGAGCCGTCACTTTAACCTCCATGCCGCCTGCCAGCCCTGGTGTTCTCGTCTTAGGTCTGGGTCCTTTGTCACATGTGCAAGCTCCTGCAGTGACCAGCCTAGCCAGCATAGACTACGGCACCTCTGGGGCCCCTCCTGCTGCCCTGTAGCCCTGGCCACTTGGCCGCCCCACCCGTCTTCAACCCCAACCTCCCTGGCCTGTGCTGTCTGCCTTGCTATCTGTCCTGCTGTCGTTCTGAGCCGCGACATCCCTGGGATTGCACCGTGTGGCCTTGGGCATCGGCTGCTCCCCCCGAGTCACGTGGCCTGGAGGAGTTGTTGCTCTTTCGTGTGTCGGCCTAAGACCCCTGCACGGCTCAGAGTCTCACATTGGTTTAACCATCACCGCTGAGGGACCCCTGGAGCTTGCCGGTGTGGGTTATCTGGAAAAAAGCTGCAGTGGCTGTTAACACAACGTGAGGTTTTTCTCCTCTTGGCTGAGTGGCCCCGAGAGCAGTCGCCAGGCCGTCTGTGAGCACGTGTAGTTCTGTAGAAACCATGCCCCTTTCCCGAGGGACTGCACTCCTGATGCCCACGGGCACCACGAGCACCAGCCTCTGGTCCCCCTGGCCTGCAGTGGTGTTGCCATGTCCCTTACGAATTTCCTGGGTCCAGGTTCTTTTTGTAACATTGCTAGAGGGACATGGCTGGCCAGGGAGAGATGGAGAGACGGGAGTGAGAGAGCACCCCAGCCCCGGAGAGTGGTCACGCAGTCTCTCTTCTCTGTTTCTCCCTCTGTTCGGGCATGCACACACACATAAAGCTGCTGGGTAGGGGCTCAAACGTGGAGTTGGCCGTGCGGGAGCCATCCGCCTTAATGCCACCGCCTGGCCCAGTGTCAGAGCTCATGATGAGAGGGGGACCTTGGTTTTGGAAACTGAAGCCTGGTG